AACTATCGATTTTCTTCGGGGCATTGCTCATAATCTTTCATTGTAAATATTTGTAATTTTTATTAACAAAAATTTTAAAAAATCTAAAAAAAGAAGAAAATTTATAAAAAACCCAAAAAAAGAAAAAATTTTGTAAAATATAAAAAAATTAGATTTTATGTCGTAATTATTCGTGTTTGTTGTCCTTGTCTATCTGTATGTTTGTCCTTTGTTCACGAGATACTAGTTCATACACCTCCTCCCGGTGTACCCTGGAAATTACTAGATTTAGTAGGCTAAGATATGAACAAAGTTTGTTGGGAAAAAGAATAATCGGCGAAACAAGTCGTCGGGAAAGTGATTGTCGGCAAAGTGAATGCGACCCGACTTTTGATGAATTCATCATAATAAATATAGAAAAGAAAAGAAAAGAAAAAAATGTCAGATGATTTGTTTGTTTTTATATAGTATTTGAAACATATCAATGCATTTTTATAACCAAGTGAATTTAATAAAACTTAATGATAATACAATAGAACCCGAAATAGAATTTGTTAAAAGTGTTTTATTTTGATAGCCAAGACATTTAAATGCATTTCTAATTTTATATAAACAAAGATTAATGATTTCGTCATAATAATTGATTAACTTACTAAAAACGATTATCATCAATGAGTACTTCATTAAATATTGTTTGTCCACTAGTACCAATACTTTCTCCATTAATGAAAACAGTACTTAAATCTTGTGGTGTATCTGTTTTATCTATGACTATTAAACATTCTCGAAATATAAATATAAATGTTGATTGATAAACAGTAAAAGAAATCGAATTCGTACCAATAACAGTGATATTTGATGTAACAATACTGAATTTTGAATATTTATTATCAACTGAAAATGTTGTAACTATTTTAGCTATTTGATCTTGTGCATCAGAAGCTTTTAATATTAATTATTGCACATGTTGTTCGATATTAAATGTTAGTCTAAGAAATCTTTTTGAAAATGTTTGTAAACTATCTGAATAAATAGCAAATAGTTTAATTATGCTTATTATTTTTGAATTAGATACTTCATCTAAAATTATTTATTCTCGAGAAAATCATTTATTATCAATATTTATACTTTGTATAAATTGACATGAAGCATGTATTTGAATGGTGATGTTATTTTTTACTTTTATTGTAGAAAAAGAAAAAAATGAATTCTGTCGTTCATATGTTTCTTGAGATAGGTCGAACTATGCATTTCATCAATATAAGAAGAAAAACAAATACAAGAAATAATTACTTTAGCAAGAATGAGAATGATGGTTTATTGACAATGCTCACTAAAACCATCCTCTACTAACGTTAGAAACACTTATGTTTGTGTAAAAATGAAACTAAATAAACTAATTTTAGATGTGTACTGATCAGTTCTAGTTGTCAGTGAATTCCTATCTTATGTAAGACATAAGCAAATAGAAAAAGTGATACTCGTTCTATTGGATAATAGAGAATAATATTTCTTTATTTTGTTGTGTGTTCATCTAATCGATTTTTCTTTATTGTTCTCTTAGCTTTGTCGTATGTTTGATGTTGCTTTTGTTTTCACTTGTTTGATGCATTGTCAGTGATGAATAATATCGTATTTATGAGCAATACTGCTCAAGAAATGCAACAGAGTATGGCAACATATGTGCAATCCAAAAATTAATAGTTCAAATAAATTTCACAGAATTCAAGATACATATGCAATCTAGAAATCTGTGACTTGAGACTAGCACAAAATTCTAGAAAATAGAGCAAAATTGGATGTGTGGGTGTTGTTCAAGTTCAGAAAGAGACACCGACATCCGAGCAATCTCACCTATGCCTACACTCACACCCAGTCACAATCATAGCCAGACACCATTGCTCGATTGATGAAGCATTGTTGACTTTTCATGGAAAGAAGCTCCAATTGATTGAAAATACATAGTATCTTTCTGTTATTCTACAAATTCTATCTGAACACATTATGCTTCGAGATTCATTTTCCGATTAGCGGCTTAAGTTTGATGTGTAATGCTCTAACAGCCAACAAAGCGCTACTTTCATTTCACATCTGATTAAGGCAATCGCTATAATGTTTCACATGATTGTTCTGCCTGTTCGAAGACAATCACCAATAATATTCATTTGTCAATGCATTATAAAATGAAATCCATCGATCGTTTCTTCTAAGCAAAAAAATTCTTATATGATCGAGCGAGCAAGTCATGGTCATGAAGTAATCCGATTTTAAACAACGGACTACTAACAGTTCTCATATAGTTATGAGATCAGACAACTAGTGTTTTGTTGACTCATACGAGAAAAATTTCGGGATGTAAGTGTAACACGCTTGTGTATGCAAATATTAGTGTATATTTCTTCATCATAGCAACACAAAGCGCAAAGGAGAACCAATGAGAAGAAGAAGAACAGAAAAAACGAAATATATGTGATGCAGAGACCATCCATGAAAAACAACTGCCTACCTGATGAAAATGTCATGCTTCATCGATTCACGTAAGCATACGCTGGTAGGAAAAAAATACGTCATTTCGTCAACGATAAAGACGAAGCAAAATCAGTTGCAAGCGAACAAAAAATTCTTGTACACACGAGTATCACTTATTACGTGAGTATATTTGACTTTTGACATTATTAGACTGGTGATAAAATTTAAATTGAATGTCAAGAGTAGGTACAAAGAACAAAAACGAGGGAACGTGGAAATGAGACATTTTAATCGATAGAAAGTGATTTCAAGAAAGCTTCAGTGGAGAATGTCCAGTATATGAAATTGATAGTCTTGATTCGCAAGAATTATGGTGATAAAAGACTCTCTTTTCACTCTTAGTAAATCAACATATCAATGTATTCAAGAATATCTAATAGATTAGGAGTCTCAATTTATATTTAATTTCAATTCAATTTATTTGTAAATTAAATAATTAGTAATTTAACTCATAATTAAATTTGCATAGGTTGAACTTAATTTATCATTTATGAAATTATTCATAAAATACAATTATTCTGTTTCTTTTTGATATTTCATCTCAGTCAGATGAACAACGAAGAAAACAGGTAAGAATGCGTCGAAATTTTAATGAAAATAAAGTCGTATAAGCGCACATGTAAACGCATTGATAATGCCTTAGATTTTTGACCGGATATAATTATATTCTTTTGGAAACTTCAACGCATTGTGAACACGGAGAAATGTATAATTCTCAGAATTTTATTTTTGATAAAGTTCGACGCATTTTTACGCATTTTTTTCATTCTTCATCTGACTGAGATGAAATATCAAAAAAGAAATAGAATAATGATATTTTATGTATAATTTAATAAATTATAAACTAAGTACAAACTATTTACATTTAAAATAAACTAAATTGACTATAATTTAAAGTCATTTTAAATTAGCAGAAAAAGAATACCTCTATGATAGACATTTTTAATGACGTAGAAACACCTTGGAAAGCTATGTGAATCTTGACGAAGTTAATAAAAGTCAAAGATATTAAACATCAAACCGAATTTTTTTATCCTTAGAATACGAGAAGCATCACAATTTTTAAGTACAATACGTAGCGGACCTTTTCCACGAAAGACAGTCTATTTGTTGTTCTGTATGAGCATCGGCCAAAGAGTGTAGCGATTGAATGAGTTTCATCGATTGACATGTTTTTCTTCCTCGAAAAGAATCTCTATGCAACAATCTTTAATGATTCTCATGTATCTGATGTGGTAGAAAGAAAGACAGTCTCAGTACTTTCACTATAACTACTTCAGTTTACTTTTTTCCAAGCTAGGCTTGTTACCAAAAGCCCTACCAGATAACTCTACGGTAGGTATGTATCAAAAGCTTCTCTGAGGAAATATGTGAACTAAAATTCAGCTAGAATCTTCAAAATGCCAAAAAGTGCCAACTTTCCAAGACGTTTCAAAATAAACTTCAGAAGATCTTTTACATAACGAGAAGCAGGGAAACAAAAGTCATCATATTAGTGAGCATTTTTAACTTAGTTTTTTTTATTCGTGCAACGTAAAGTTTGCTCAAATTAAAATTTAGATTGAACAGCTGCTTTTCGATAATGCTATACAAAGTTACTGAAACCCCCCATTGTTCCCGACTGAACTCGAGAAAATAGAATTAGATAATATTTTGTCTCTGCGTCTGATATAGTAGCTGTTTTTCATCGAACTCAAGAAAATTCGAACTCCAAAGACACCGTTTTGCATCGGTTATGGTTGTTTCCTAGGAGCTCAAAAAATTGAGTTAGAAAACAGATAAAATCGAGAAAATCCGGAAAAGACACACTGATGTGAATCATAAGGATGACCATGAAAACATTCAAGGGACCATCGACCGGCCGAGCTTCTTGCGAGCTACAAAGTCTTTATTATTATTTTATTTTGTTTGTTAAAATATTGTAGAAAAAAATGGAGTAACAAGTTTTTCAGTTTTGAAAGTTGGTTTTTATTGACAAGTTTAGCATTCTAGTCGCATTTTACTGCACAGCTTCCTCCAGAAAGACTTCCAATTTATACCTTGTGTAAAATTGAACGATAGATTTTATATAAGAAATACTTTAGTTTCAAAGGAAGAAAATTAAACGATTTATAGTGAAAATGCTGAAATTGTCATTCTATCTATTGCATTCCTTAACTCAACATGAAAAGCATGTAGGGAAGGATGCTTAAAACTCAGAAAGTCTTATGGATAAGGCATTTTTGATGACCAAAGCGTAGTGATTCACTGTGCTTAAATGAAGCAGTACGAATATTTTAATCTCTTGATGTAGCGTGGAAGGATTCACCAATTACTATATCGAACCTTTTAACCCTTATTTGCTCCCAAACTGATTCTCTATAGATAGTAGAGAACTTCATGAACTATCTATGGTAAATAAATCTTTTTTTCGAGCTGTCAAAAGTTGAAAGATGTAAAATAAAAATTTGCAAGTTCTTGGTTGCGGAATATCTTTCCAAGTTTCTTGGAAACACGATGAGGAAATTCGAGTTAGCTACTAGCAAAGGAATGCTCACAGGCGCAGACATTAGGAGAAATGACATGAAAATGACCCTTTTCCTGTGAACAAAGTTTATCAACATATGAACATACAAAGAATTACGGTTTGACTGTTGGATAGTGTTTTCTGGCAAACAAGGTCATGCTGATTTCTTGTTGATCTCAAGGGTTCGAAGCTAATGAATCCCATCTTCAGGCGACAAACAAGAAAAAAACCTAAAAATTTAAAACGAATGGGAAGTGCTTTGAGTCGTATGACAATCATAACATTTATTATAAACGTTATGCGTTTTGTAGTTTTGTCTGAAGAAGAACTTGCTAGTTTCGAGAACTCAAAACATAGAGTTCAGGTAGATTCTTGACTAGTATGAAACCTTCATCATAGCAGTGTTATAATTTCCACACTAATATGTTTAATGTAATCTGACATCTTTCCGCACGACTTTAATCATTCATTTCTAAAGCTTTTTGCTTCAAATAACACGACGTACAATAGTGATATCTCTTTCGAAAATCAAGACGATAAAATAGATTTTACATTAGGCATTACAGAAGTTGATTGATATTTTATCGACTCTTACAAATCGAACTGAACTAATGGGTTGGATCGCTTTTCTGTGAAGATTTTGCAAGAGCCGTTTCGCTTTGATCGGGAAGTGTTCTTCATCATTTTCATGGGTCTTAGAGAGACACGCAAGCTTTAGATCCATATGAGCTTATAGGCAAAGAGCAGAATGCGGTTCTACTTTGTCTAGTCTTCTGAGGACAGCTTGTTATATTCATTGCTTGCTACAAGATTCTTGTGCCAATCAGCTGTACTACACTATATCGAGCGAGTTGTCGTCAAGAGCACTTACATCTTCAAGCTTTATGTATGGCATTTCCACAACGACGATTTTATTTCTTCGCTATCTTAAGAATCGGCCTGCATAAACATTCGTTCATTATGAATGGTTGTTAATTCCTCTTTTGCATCCATTTATTTCGATAGTCTTTTTTTCACCTAATAAGCATGTATAAAGACAAAACAGGCAAAAATTGGCACAGCCATTAAAATAGTGTTTAGATTTATTGGGGCATAATAATATTACAGTCT